TTCTGTTCCGGCTTCGGTCGGTCAGTCGTACTCTTCGGCCGCCATTCAACGGTCAGCTCAGAACTGGCACGGACTAGGGGAATCCGACTGTCTAATTAAAACAAAGCATTGCGATGGCCCTAGCGGGTGTTGACGCAATGTGATTTCTGCCCAGTGCTCTGAATGTCAACGTGAAGAAATTCAAGCAAGCGCGGGTAAACGGCGGGAGTAACTATGACTCTCTTAAAAGGTGGGAGTGGTTGTGGTTCTTCGGGACCACAGCTAGCAAGTGGCCATTCCTCCTCGTGGTTCCCATCGTGAGTACCCCTTCGGGGGGAAACCAAGAGCCACCTCTGTGCAAAATGGACCTGGGGGCTACCAACCCCCTCGTTTGTAAAACAAAGTCGGTAAACATAAGCCTCGGATACAATAATTTAGATTTAGATTTGGAAGGACCCACTGGTTCTTCCAACCGGCGAGCAGAAATGGTCATTTATGCCGTTTTCCACTATGCGGCAAATATTTCGCAACTTCGATTGGTCGGGGTGTGCACGAACAGAGAACACACAAGGAATGGTACGACCAAGAATTAGCCAAATCGCGCCCAAGAAAGCAAGGTGGACAGAAGAGGAGCTGATCATTATGGCCAAAGAGGAGGTTGCATTAATCAAAAAGGGCATTACCCAAATTAATAAAGCCCTCCTAGCTATAACACCGGGTCGAACGTTGGAAGCCATCAAAGGCCAAAGACGTACGCCAAAATATAAAGGCCTGATCACAGATTTTCTATCTACACCTGATGAGACAAGTAACACCAACTCTTGTCCTGTGGCCACTGATTTAGACATGAGAGATGACCTCACTAGAGCACTAGCGATAGCAAAGAGCAGAGATGATGACAAGTTCAACAGTTCCCTATTGGTTAACATATGCCATAAAGCTGCGGAACTATCACCAGAGGAATTAAGGAAGCAAGTGAGCGAGTATCTAGAATCCACCTTCCCATATGAAAGAGTGACCAACCCCAAGAACAACAAGAAGGGGAGAGCACCAAGGTTAAATAAGAGACAGCAGCGCAGACACGAGTACAAAGTGACTCAAACGCATTGGAGCAAGAACCCAAGCAAATGTATTTCTTATATACTAGACTGCAAAGCTACCTCGACCCCCCCACCACCTGATGTAATGGTGCAATTTTGGTCGAATGTATTAACAGATTCAGTCGATGTATCACCAGATGTTCCAAGCAGCGAGAAATGAAGATCTCTCGCACCTGTGGAAACCCGTGTCTACTGAGGAAGTCAGATGTGCACTTCCAAACAGAAACACGGCCCCTGGTCCGGATGGTATATCAGCCAGATTGCTAAAGTCTATGCCAGCCGACATTCTGGTTAACTTGCTGAATCTGTTAATGCTAATGGGAAGGATTCCGGATAGAATGATGGAATCATATACAACCCTGATTCCAAAGAAAGATAACGCTGAACACCCTGGTGATTACAGACCCATAACTGTCTCATCTGTTTTAACCAGAACATTTAATAAAGTGCTGGCTAGGCGTCTGCTTAGTGAGGTTCAGATTGATAGTCGACAAAAGGCGTTCCAGCCAGTTGACGGATGCGCACATAACACATTAGCGCTAGATCACCTTTTACGGCACCATAGGCACAACAACAAGCCTGTGTTTTTAGCTTCGATAGATGTCGCCAAGGCCTTTGACTCGATATCACATGCTGCGTTGATCAACACACTACAATACTACAACTTACCACAACCCTTCACTCTTTACGTTAAGGAACTGTATAAACATGGGTGGACAAGACTTCGATCAGGGCGCTGGACCTCGGATCCCATTAGTCCGAGGTGCGGAGTCAAGCAAGGAGATCCTTTGTCGCCCATCCTGTTTAATCTAGTTATTAATAGAATGATTGAGACCACTCCACCTGAGATCGGGGTAAAGATTGAAGGCATGACTTATAATGTTCTGGCTTTTGCTGACGATTTGGTTTTAGTGGCGGCGTCAGTAAAGGGATTGCAGACATTACTCAGTCATGCTGAGAATTTTCTCGCAAGTTGTGGCCTGAGGATTAACACGAACAAGTCCTTCACGGTAGCGATTAAGAACGTGCCGCATGTGAAGAAGTCATTTGTCGATAAGGAAGTTATCTTCAAATGTGGGACGCAAACACTACCTGCAAAGTCAAGGGTCGACGGCTGGACTTACTTGGGGGTGGAATTCACTCCCGAGGGTGCCAATATTGGTGATCTTAAAGCGAAACTCCAGTCAACTATTGATAAATAACCAAAGCACCATTGAAAACACAACAACGGTTATTTGCGCTAAGAACCATTGGCATTCCTAAGTTAATGCATCAATTAACATTAGGTAATGCCAAACTTGGATTTCTGAAGTCGCTCGATGGTGCAGTCAGAAAGGCAGTTCGTTCATGGCTGCGACTACCTAATGATACTACAATGCATATTTTTATGCAAATAGTAAAGATGGGGGCCTATCTTTCCCATCATTAAGGTGGTTAGTTCCTCTTAGGAGGAAAAATTAGACTGGTTAAGTTGAACTGGGGTGAATCCAGCTTCCACCAACTGGAGATTGAAAAATGTGACAAGAAACTAATGGAGAATAACATCGTCCTTGCCTCTCAGGAGCAACTGGATGAACGATGGGCTCGGCTACTGCACAAGTCAGTGGACGGGTCCCCATTGGTAAAATCATCCAAAGTACCATCACAACATCGGTGGGTGACTGAAGGCAAACAAGTTCCTGACAGGGAAAGATTACGTGAATTGCATTAAGTTCAGAATCAATGCAATGCCTACGAGATCCCGAACAACCAGAGGTAGAACAGAGGACAGGAACTGTAGGGCCGGTTGTAATGCTCCAGAGACGTTAGACCACGTCCTACAAACTTGCCACCGTAGCCATCGTCAACGAATAGAACGACACAATGCAGTCTGTAACTACGTCAAAAGAGCGTTGGAGAAATCACACTCTCGTGTTGATTGGGAGCCAACCTTCAAAACACCTGAAGGCACTCGGAAACCGGATTTGATCGCGTCACAGGGTCAGAAAGCAATTGTACTGGACGCCCAAATTGTAGGAAGCTCTACTAATATGGCCGGAGCCCACAGACGGAAGATCGAGCACTATAAAAATCTGGAGGACGTAGTGAAACTGAAATACAATGTGTCAACAGTGGTTTATAATACAATTACCCTCAACATCAGGGGAGTCTGGCACGAAGAATCGGCGAATTTTCTAGTGTCGGAGAAGATATTAAACAAGAATGAATTGAAGGTAATCTCTACCAGAGCGATAATCGGAGGACTAAACGGATTTGCGAAATGGTCAAAAACAACGACTACAAGACACGAGCCACAAGGAATCGGATGACCACCTGAATTGCAACGCGTGCTGCCTGCGCACACATCCCCCAGGCACAATACTAGGAGTTAGGTTTAGTGGGTATTGCCTTCGGCCGAGTCCCACACTATTGGTCAACCTGGCGACCATTGTACATAAATGTATTCCCCTCCTAGCCAAAAAAAAAAAAAAAAAAAAAAAAAAAAAAGCCAAATGCCTCGTCATCTAATAGTGACGCGCATGAATGGATTAACGAGATTCCCACTGTCCCTATCTACTTTCTAGCGAAACCACTGCCAAGGGAACGGGCTTGGAAAAATTAGCGGGGAAAGAAGACCCTGTTGAGCTTGACTCTAGTCTGGCATTGTAAGGAGACATGAAAGGTGTAGCATAAGTGGGAGATAGTAATATCGTCGGTGAAATACCACTACTTTCATCGTTTCTTTACTTACTCGATTGGGCGGAAAGCGTGCGTCGAAAACTTGCGTTCCGACTGTCACGGTTTTCTAGAGCCAAGCGCATAAGAGTGGTGTGAGCCATTGCGCGCCGATCGCCAACATATACTCTAGCGTGATCCGATTCGAGGAAACTGCTAGGCGGGGAGTTTGACTGGGGCGGTACATCTGTCAAATAATAACGCAGGTGTCCTAAGGCCAGCTCAGCGAGGACAGAAACCTCGCGTAGAGGCAAAAGGGCAAATGCTGGCTTGATCCCGTTGCTTCAGTGTGCACAGGGACTGCGAAGCATGGCCTATCGATCCTTTTGGCTTGAAGAGTTTTCAGCAAGATGTGTCAGAAAGTTACCACAGGTAACTGGCCTTGTGGCAGCCAACGTTCATAGCGACGTTGCTTTTTGA